CGCGTCCTCGCCGTCGGAGAGCCCCAGGATCGCCCGGCGCTGCGCCGCGGACAGGTTGAACTCCGCGAAGCGCGTCGGCGCCTTCGAGTTCCTGACGACCTTGGCCGAGCCGCGGCGCCCGAAGGGCAGGCGGAAGCCGCTCGGCCGCCGCGAGTCCCGCCGGATGTCCGCCGTCGTCCAGACCTTGAGCTGCAGCGACTCCCGCTCGCCGCTCGACGTCGCGACCTCGAACTCGCGCGTCCGCGTCGCGTGCCACGTCGTCCGCCGCGACGGGTCGTAGTGGATCTCGCCCTCGCGCGCCTTGCGCACGGCCTCCTCGGCGCGGTCCTTCTGGCGCGCGATGACCAACGCCGTCTGCGCCTTGAGCCGCTCGCGCGTCTCCTTGTACTCGCGCGCGAGCGCGGCCTCGGACTTTTCCCTCCCGCGCTTGCCGTGCGTCGCGAAGGAGTAGGCTGCGTCGCCGGCGCGCGCGCCGCCGGGCGCGGCCTTGAGCGCGACGTAGGTCCGCGCGACGGCGCCCGCCGACGCGTTCTGCGGCACGACGGGCGCGTCCTTGCGGATGCCGAGGAGGTCGAGGAACGCCGCCAGCGCGCCGCTGTGCTGGTCGTGCTTCGCGACGTCGATGTCCTCGACCATCTTCCCCACCGTCGACTCGCGCTGCTCGTAGGTCTTCGCGTTCAGCACGCCCGGCCCCTTGGGCTCGTCGTCCTTCTTGCGCCGCGTCGTCGTCGCGGCCCCGGGGACCGTGGCGGCGGCGCCGCCCCCGGGCGTCTTGGGCGTCGTCGGGGTCGCCGTGCCCGGCGTCCCCTTCGGCGGGGGCGCCTCCTCGTCGTCCGTCGCATGGACCTTGCTGTTGCGCGGCTTCCGAGGCTTCATGCTCCCACCGGGCAGCCCACCTCGCAGCGGACGGTCAACATGCCGATGCGGCCCTTCATGGTGCAGACCGAGTGAGCACGAATGGGCAGCGGCAGCGGCGCCTGACCGCCTTCCCATTGCGGCGACGGCATGAACTCGTGGTCGACGGCCGTGTTGGCGTCGGCCGGCGGCAGCGCCTGGAGCGGCACGAGCGAGGTCGGCAAGGCGCAGGTCGACGTCGACGACGGCTGGAACGCGCGCTTCCAGCGGTCGCTCCCCGAGGGCCACGCGTTCGCGCTCACGGAGCTGAACCGCGACTTTGTGTTCGTGGCGTCGACGGTCGCGCGGACCATCGTCCTCGAGACCTACGCGGCGGAGAAGACCGTGGCGCCCAGCGACCTCGGCGGGCAGGCCGGCGGCCGCAAGTTCGCGACGCACGGCATCATCTTCAAGTGCGTCGACGGCGGCCGCGCGCCGTTCTACGGCGACGACGACGCGGCCCACAAGTGCGTCGGCCACGACCTCAAGGGCGCCAACGCCGTCCTCGCCGCGCGCGTGCCGGGCGTCCACGTCGCGCTGCAGTGCGTCGTCGACTATTTAGACTACAGGATCCACGCGCAGGGCATCCTGCCCATCGGCGCGCTCGAGGGCGACGCCGACGGCTCCGACCAGGGGTCGGCGAGCCTCTACGACCACATGCCCATCTACGGCCGGGCGGTCGACGACGAGTCGTCCAAGGGCCAGAGCATCTACGACGCGGCCGCGGCGCTCGGCGCGCGGAGCCCGCGGAGCCCGCGGAGCCCCGCGGCGCTCACGACGCTCGTGTCCGGGTCGTCGGACGGCGGCCGCACGATCCGCCGCGGCCGCCGCGGGGGCGGCGCCGAGACCGTCGCGGACGTCGAGCTCCTCGCCAAGGAGCTCCGGCTCGCGCCGCACGGCGGCGGCCTCTTCTGCGGCTGCGACGTCGAGGTGCACCGCGGCTCCGACGGCCGGAGCTACCTCGTGGACCTGGCGCGCGTCTTCCCGCCGGAGGCCCCGGGTCCGACGTCGAAGCGGTCCGACCTCTTCTCGCGGCTGCTGCGGCCCGAGTTCGTGCGCCGCCGCGGCGACCAGGCGCTCGCGGCGTTCCCGACGGGCGCGGCGAGGGCAGCCGCGCCGCCGCTCTCGTCCGACGCCTTCTCGTTCCTCTCCGACGACGGCTTCGACGCCGACGTCCGCGAGGC